TAATCCTGGCGTAAAGTAACATATTTCGAGTGCGCTGTTGCCCTCACGGGTAATCCTGGCGTAAAGTAACATTTCGAGTGCGCTGTTACCCCCACGGGTAATCCTGGGGGTCTCATAGGGAATGAGGGCTACGCAAACACGGGTTAGTGACTTTAAACGGGAAATCCTCGTGTGGTCACTGCGCTAGAACCCCCATTCCCTATACTACTTAACGACATCGAGAAAGAATATTCCTCGAATCTTGATGTAGAGTTGAAGAAATGTCGAAGTTGAAGTGAAGTGTTGTTAAGGTCAGCCATGGTTCTGTTCTGTTCTGCTCTTCTTTCCCAAAAATAAGTTTCTTTAGTCAAACGTGTTTGTTTTAAGTATTACTAGTTTTTCTTCGGTGGACCTAGTCCTCAATTTAACAACGTAGTCTCAATAAGCTACAGTTATCTCACGCTAGCTTGGAAGACACTTTCTTTTATAAGTAGTTGTGGCAGAACTCCTGTAGATAGTCTTTCCGATAATTTACATAATTCACTTATGAAAATTCACTTATGAAAATTATTCAAATGGTAATGGTTTTTAAAATAACTGATTTCTAGGAATCTTACGAAAATGACTACTGATAGATGCTGACAATCTTGGGCAAAAAATTTTAAAAATCGGCAAAAACAAGAAAAACTAGTCATTTAATTCAGGCTTAATGTGCAATTTTGAAAGTAAACTCAGTAATTAAACGTATTTGAAATTCAGTGCACTAACGAATTTGAATTATGAAGTTTGGTTTTTGTTTGTCTGTAAAAATATAAGTTTTTTGTTTTGTTTCGACCCAAAACGGATGACTTTTTTTCAGGCTTTTCCTTATAATTTTTTTAAAAAATCATATCTTATTGGTTTTTTTTTTTTTTGGTTTTTTTTGTTTTAATATTTTCTTTAATTCTTAAATTCTTAATGAGGCTCTTTCTTTTTGCATGAAAAGCTTTTGAATTTGAGCAAAAAAGCAAGCAAAAGATTTAGGGCTAGAGTTTCTACCACTTTACTAATTCATTTTTTGTTTTTAGAATTTTCTTAATAATTAAATCCTTAATGATTTTCCTTCCTATATTGCATGAAAAGCGCTTGAATTAATAGCAAAGTTCTTAGGTTGCAGGCAAAATACTATTAACTATAGCAAACAAAATATTTAGGAACTTGGTCAGCGTTAAATGAACAAGCAAATTTAATTAAAGTTTGTCTTGTCATTAACGACATTTGCTTTGTCTTAAGAATGCAAGTGTGTGAACACTTGCTCTTACAAATTTTCAACACTTGAACAAATTCTCTCAAATGGATGTTGAAAATAATTTTTTTATGTTAGGAGAGAATTCTTTCCGTATTCAAGCGGTGAGCGCCAAAAACTATTTTCTTGAAGAAAGGCTGTTGTATAAGGCTAAAATCTTGTTATTCAGAAAGTTTCACTTGTTTGGAAGTGGAGATGACCGATGAAAGTGGAATCAAAGTGTTAACCCAAAGCAAAAATTTGAATCGAAAATAAGGTTTATGCCTATATTTGCTTATTTCCCATACGTTTTCTATAAAAAAGCCTGACAAAGCTACATTCTAACACAATTGCAACATAACATCTTTGTACAATTGAAAATACCCCTTCAAACAAGCATTTTATCATAGTACATCAGTTTCTAACTGTTAAAAAAAGGTTTTGAGTGTTAACCCAAAACGAAAATGGGGATCAAAACTCATACGAAGGTCTAGTTTTTGGCGCTTTTTGCTATTATTGCTCGTTATTGAAAAAAATTTCCTCTTAAATTAAATAAACTGATTCAGTATATAAACCTTCATCTTACTCAGCACTATCTCGTTCTTGTTGGCCGAGAACGTGACATGATAAAGGTAAAGTTATCTGTAGATTTTTCTGCAGATAATACATTTATAATGTCAAGTTTACTCAAGGTCACAATGATGGCTACTCATTTTTCCTACTTTTGTTCAGGTCAGAATTAATGGATCTAGAAGTCGAGCGAGACTCAGCCCGACAAGACATCAAAGAAATGGAAAATATTTTAATCAAACAACAGCAAGAAGCAAACGAGGTATGTCGAATTTTAGGCGAGTAATTTCCTTCCCATTGCTGCTCGAAAATTTGAAATTCTTTAATCTCATTCATTTAAATTCATTTCATCTCAAGTACATACTTTTCTAGAAAAATACAAAAAGATATCTAAATACTGTTTTCGTCAGATTTCTTACGATTTCTTGCCGATTCGTAACCGAAAAGCACGGACGCGCCTTCGCAAGCGCTCTTGCTATCTTACTGTGAGAACACATTATAACCGGGACCACTTTAATAAAACTGACCAATCAGATAATAGTAAACTAGACAGAGATTGAACTGAAAACAGCGTTAGCCAATCAGATTATCATGTTCTCACGCTCTTATTATATCAATGGGCTATCTGATTGGCTGGTTAAAAAATATTTGACCTAAATGTCGCTAGTTTATCAAAGTGGTCCCGGTTGGAGTATACGCACAGTAAATCTTCTATCTTTTTGTTATTTGCGGAAGAGAAAAATTATGTTCTCACTCCCTCCCCTTAGTAGCATTGCTGATATTAGTTGTGGAATACATCTATATGACTCTTAAAAGAACGTTCGCGGGCAAATGAAGTTGTAATGTCAATTTTATGTAATTTGGCATGCCGATACTTGATAATATTGGAGTAAGAGATATGAAATAAAAGACGGGGGTCACCGAATTTGTTTTCGAGATAAACGCTAATAAATATTGACAAAATAAAAGGTTTGAAATAAATTAAAAATTGTAAATAAACTCGTATAAAAACATGCGTAATAAAAGGTAAATTACGAGCCTCGAATGAAACGACTGAAGAAGAGGGCCAATGGGCCTTTCACAACTTCAAGTCGCGTAAAAAATGAGCCAGCTCAACTAGAAACCGTGGACAGCTGTTTCAGCTGTTTTGGACCGTCTCGGAATGACCTATCGCCTATTTCCTTTGGCAATGACAACGTTTTTTGAAATAGAGGTGTATAAATATAGGAAGACGATAGACAAATAATCAGTTCTAATGGAAAACTTAAGGTACGGGCACACGGTGCAACATTGCGCGCAACACGACTGTTGCAAAGTTTGTCTACTCCTGAAATTTGTTGCACGCAACATTGCATTCAACAAATCTGAAGTTGAATCGCGCTCTACTCTTGCAACATTGCGCGCAACGAATTTCATCATATGAACATGGCTGCAACATCGCGTGCAACATTTTGAAATTCCCAGCCAATCAGCTTGCACCAAATTTATAAATGCTGACCAAATATCTTAACATAGCAGGCTGACACAAGCGATGTTGCATGATTTCGTTGCGAGGTGTGTCACCCCGATCCAAATTTGTTGCGTGCAATGTTGTGTGCAATGTTACACCATCTGTCCGCGCGTTTAGAACTGGTTGATCTACATTTAGAACAAATAGTTTGCGGAAGGAAGGTTCTTACACGATCGGGATCAAACACAATAATAAAAAGTTTTTTTTAAAGTGCCAATTGTAGAACCTTTCTTAATTTCTAATGGTAGTGAATTCCACATAATTAAGGTGCTATTGAAACTAGAGTCTCAGCTGAAGGTGGACGTTTCATATTCATAACGGAAGATGAGACAAAAAAAACAATTCTATTCACGAGTAATGTCAGCCGACCTTTGGGCTTCATAGGAATAGAATAGAAATATACGAAGTGATGTTTAATGTTGAGTTGCATTACACCAGACTCCGTAAAAAGTACTTCCCATCAAAATATCAGGGGAAATCCTTAAAGATTACTACAGTGAAGTTTTTGGTGAATTAAATTTCGAAAGACTTTCGTCCAAGTAGCACTTAAATAGTATTATTTTTCGATAAAATTTAATTTAATTATCAGGTAGAACAAATTTCTTTTTCTTGTTCAGTAATTTTTGTTCTTTTATGTTCTTTTCTGTTCTTTCTTAGACTTTCAAAGTAGACAGAAAAAATGAAAGGAAAGTACTAGAGTTGTCTTTAGACAACAATAAACTGCAACGAGAGTTAGAAACACTCAAAACCAAGCTTGAACAGTCAGAATCAACTCTTGAAAACGAAAACAAACTCCACCAGGAAAAGATTGGAATGTTACAGGAACAGTTTCGCGACGGACAGCGATCTTTAGAGGAAAATATTCAGAGATTAAGAAAAGTGAGTATACACATCGCGCTATTAAAGTTGACAATAGTAGGCGGTTGCTACTAGTCTTTGTGTTGTCCTATTTGTCTGAAAAACATGTGATCTCCCTGAAATCCTCGGAACCCTCCCCATCCCACCCGACGCGATGAATAATGACCGTTCCCTAGGTTCCTAGTTTTTAACGTTCGAGATGTACTTTACTGTTTTTGTTTTTCTTAGCAACTTGAGGAAGAACGTGAAAACGCCCGCTCCTCGCACTACGAACGAATCCACACGATACAGAAATTTCAAGACGAATCAAAAGAAATCCAGGAAAGAGAGATCGAGGCTGTCAAGACTCGTCTAACAAGGGTAACTGCATTTGCTCTTTCTTATAATATTTGCTTGTATGGTGGAGTTAAAGGTTGGTTTAGCGATAGTACACTTGCCTCTCACCTCTGGGGTGTAGGGTTCGATTCCTGGACTCGGCAGCTTATGTCGGTAGAGTTTGTTCATAATGAAAATCAAAATCTGATATTGGCTTCTCTTCGTCACTTTTGTACTAAAATTTAAAAGTTGATTTTTGTGGAGGGAGGAAAAGCGGAAAAAAATACTACCATTTCGTGTTCGCCTTTGCTCAGTCTTAGCCTCGATTGTGTACAAATGTATTGTTTTGTTTTATTAAGGTCCATTGTATAGTAAGGAATGTACGTACTATGGAACAATACGAGTTGATTAAAATGCCACGGGTTTTAGTTGAATAGCTGAATATCATAATGTACAAACTAGACTAAGACTGAACAAAGAGAATTCGAAACTGGAGTGTTCCTCGAATCAAGAAAGAAGAGAATCAACTCAACAAAAACGAAATATAGATAGTGGGTCCAGGGCTCGTACCACGATTAGAGCGGAGGTAGACTTTCGATAATCAATGCGCAACAAGTAAATAAAAAGACAAGTGTCCCTAAAGTGAGTAGTCCGGACTAAGCGCCTGGTCCCGGTTGTACGAAGCCTGGATAGCGCTATCTTATCCAATGGATAAATTTATTGGATAACAGCATCAACTTATCCACTGGATAAGGATTTGTCCGCCTAATTGCGCTAACCAGGCTGCATTTAACCGGGCCCTAGTGTTAATAAACTTGCTTTGATTTTGTTCATAGGAAAACGAAGGGCAGTTGGAAAAAATACAAGAAAAAACAAAAAGAGAGATGGATGGTCTTCTAAGAAGAATTCAGGTGAACAAATTAAATTAACTGGGGTTCCTGTGGTAAAATATATTCGCATCCAAACGAACAAAACTACGACTTATGGAATCAGTCTACCTTTGTCCTAATGAAAAAATCTTAAAAACGTTCTGCGCATGTTCGAAAATATCTTTGATTTCTACGAAACTGTTCTTTCGGAACGCGCTCGCCATTTTCGCAATGTTTAAAGGCCCAGCTTAGACCGTGGTGCTTTGCGCGCTTTTTTATTTTTGTTTTGTTTACATTGAACAGTACAGATCGACACGTCTGTTCTGACGGGAAATGAAGAAGAAACTCGGCAAAGTCACTATTTTTTGCATTGTCGAAGCCAAGAGAAGCTTTTCGTTGATTCCACAAGTCAAATAACACATGATCTCAACCTTATGAGTTTGGCTGAACTGGAAAGTCGTGGCCTTCCTCGCGAAGGATTCATTCATAGTCTGTCCTGATTTCAGCTAGTTTTTTCACTAAAAAGAGTAGTGAAATTCACAAAATAACCATACAAATTTGCTCATCGATGTTTAAGGACTAATAAGAAAGCGTTATAACCGATGGAAAAAGCTTGAAATGCCAGATGGAAACAGATGAAATTAAAAAACTTATACGATAAACTTACGATTTTTCATATATGTAAATTGGCTGCCAGGCGCTAAAAGGCGCGCAAAGCACCATGTTCTAAGCTGGGCCTTAAATGAACATTCCCTATTTTTGGAACTCTTTATTTTGGCAATTTATTTTTGGGCTATATTAGTCTTTAACTCTAAGATATTTTTCTTGCTTTTTAGGACGGAGAATTTCGTATTTCGCAGCTAGAAACCACTTTACGAGAAAAGGAACAAGAAGTTGATCTTTTGAAAACCAAGTTAATAGATGAAAAGCAGAAAGCGTATGACAACGAGATTAGTTTGAAAGAAGAAAACAGTAAACTGGAAAACTATGCAAAGGCACTGAAAGCAGAGGTGATTATAATGATTGATAAACCCTTTTAATCTTATAGATTGTCATTCCAATGTTACGTATGCCGTACCATATAAGTCTGAGTAACCTAACGTTCCACACTCATTTGAAAACCGCTTTCCATGCTAAATCTGATGAAGGTGAAATCTTGTCAGTTGTTTAGTTCATGATCTATACATAATTGCCTCCAAACAGTTCAATGTTCAAAACGTGTTTCAAAAAGAATTTCTATAGCCGCTTGCTTACTTATTGCTTTCTTTTGTGCTCAGGTGGATTCACTGAGACAACGTGAAGCAAATCTTTCTGCTTCAAACCGGACTTTAGAACAAGTGAGTATGACAATTTATCTTGTCTTCATAGGTTCATTTATTTTATTTCCGCGAACTAAAGTTTACACAGTATGACATGCAAAGACTGATTTTGCAAAAGGATCGATATCATGGACATTTATACACAGCATCCATATTGGCCGGAACAAGATATTTTCCCCGCGCGGCTTCGCATTATAGCGTTTCAAGACGAGGTTACGCATGGTTAAACAACAGTTTTTATTCAGATGGGATAAAGGTTCACAGAGAATTTGTAAAAGAATGAGTGAATTTAACTCTTTAAAGAGTTTTTACCAGAAATAATGTTTCTCCCCCCAGAGCTATGACGAAAAGATACAAGAAACTCGTAGACTACAGGATAAGATCCATAACCAGCTAGAAGAATCGAACAAGTTGCAAGAGGTAGTCAATTTGAGACACTGCTAAATTAGAATCCCATTTATTGTAATTTGTTTGTAACTTTCTCTCTCAATTTCTCATTTCTATGAAGTAAACTAAAACGATTCCAATGGTAATATCTTGGACCATCGACCAACCAACCAACCAATAGCATGTTTTCAAATGATCATGTGTTCTCATTGATTCTTTGTAAAAAAAAATAGAATAAGGAGGATGAGATTCAAATGTTACGTGATCTGGTCAGACAACAAGAAGACGCAACGAGACTTCTGGGTGAAAAACTAAGGACCGAAGCTCAAGAACAGGTACGAAATAAGCATGGTAATAACGTCGAAACGTCGCGTTCATATTTTTATATTTTATTAGGGCTCAAAATGCGGAGTATAGCAGATGAAATTGCATTAAATGTAAAATCGAATATTTTATAAGGATTTGTATGGAAAAAGTGTAGGCTAGCTGGTATCATAGCTGGTGAACAGTCCCTCTTTTCCCTCCAGACTCAGTCGAGTCGGTTTTTTCCGGTATTGCACGCGCGGGGAGTGGGGGAGACTTTGAAGCGGCACGCTACTTTTCTTCTCCCAGCGTGCGTCCAACACCGGAAAAACCCGAACTCGACTGAATTTTGAGGGAAAAGAGGGACTGTTCACAGTCTATCATCAACGACAGCACATTTGAGCATCGGTGGAAGATATCCCTCACGTAATAATGTATGGTACATCTTAATGAGGAGAGATGCGTGTTCGAATACATTGAGTATAATATTTGGCATCCTAACCTTGACCGAGTGGATCCTTAGGCCTCATGTTTGGTTTACAAGTAAATCCTCAGGAATATCTGATACAATGATATCCGTAACATATTAACATCCGTAACTGATTAATCTTTTGGCGCAGTGACTCGATGTTGACAATCTTCTGGTCATCTATCAGTTGATGGTACTTTTTTCCCTTTCCCATTTGCCCATCTTAGATTTTTCACTTTCAGTCGTGTTATAGCATGATTTTTTTGCATATTGCAACTGACTTTGTAACTTCGTTGCCCCACAATTTTAACTGTTTTGTGCGGCAATGCACTTTTTGAACTGGGGTGTCGTCTATTGCTAGTCGAAGCTATACATACGTGTTGATCTTATAGGGGCAGAAATCTGTCCAAGGTATCAGACAGAGGGCTAGGAAATATCTGAAACTTTTTCTCAAAAGTTGGAGCTGAGAAAAGTTAAATTATCTATTGCCCAAATACACGTAGACAGCTATCCCTAGTGTTTCGCCTGATTAGGGTCCCCTGGTTGGGCTTGCATGGGACGTTTAACACTGCTTCTCTTGCGCTGGGCCGAAAGCTGACCGCTTGGCGAGTTTAACCAGTCAAGAGTTTTCCCCTTGTTAGCACTTTAACAATTTGAGTCAAACCGTTTAAAGAGTGTAGGTGATAGGACGTTGGTAGAGTTGAGGTTGAAATCACCTGTGATACATATCGAGCTGTCTGGTACTTCGGCGTGGTCACATAGTTTATTACGGAACTGACGTTCTATGAGTTTTTGATTTCAAAATACAAAAATTTAAGCTCAGAGACGTTTTAAAATCTTCAAAAATAGATTAAACTGAAACAGCAACAGTGTTGATCAAAGATCAAACTCGTGCATTCTAATCCGCCATTTTGAAATTATATGCAGAACTGAGCCCTAGGAAACAAGAAGATTTAGTCAGCCGTCTGTATGCGTGAAGTGTTCTAAACCTAAAATGTTCTGAACATGTGACAGGTACTTCCAATAAGGAAGCAGCTTTTAGCTTTTATAACTTGAGATGTTCGGGCATGCACGGCTATTTGGACCAATGAAAATCGAGGGGAAAAAACGGCTGTTAGCAAAGCTAGACTCTTCCAGAGTCTCTCGCTCGTCCGTTCCGCTCGTACAATGACCGAAAGGACTTATGGGTCCCGAAAACTTGGACCCAGCGTGCTATGGGAACCAAAATACTTGTCCACAGTCTCTCTCCTTTCAATATTTTCAAGATGGCGGCGAAAACGAGAGAGACTGTGGACAAGTATTTTGGTTCCCAAAGCACGCTGGGTCCAAGTTTTCGGGACCCATAAGTCCTTTCGGTCATTGTACCGTTACAGTCTCTAAGCGTGGAGACGGAACGGACGAGCGAGAGACTCTGGAAGAGTCTATTAGCAAAGCTTCATCCGGAAAGGAACGAAACCGAGGAGCTCTAGGTACGAGATTGGTTCAGTTTCACTAGTTTGGATACGGACAAATGTGGATACTCGTGTCGACTACAGCAACAGGGCATGTTTTTCTCAGTCACGCGAAGTTCGTTCTATCCAGCAGTTGACGACTTTTAAAACTCCAGGTTGTGTGGGATTAGCCTCGAATCACCAGGAGCTGCTTGTTTTGCTATTCTCATTTCTTCTTTTGTTTTTCGATCTCAGAAGTGAAGCTAAGAGGGCATGACTGCATGCGTTTTAAGAGTCGTCCCTTAAATCATTGTTTTGGGGGGGGGGAGGGGGGGGGAAACTGGGTTGAATTGACATTGCACTGCATCGTGGGACTGTTGTAAGAGAAATTTCCAGGATGGCGTCTAGAATTCGTCCCCTAAAATATTCCCAGAATGCACCGTTATGCAAACTCGACCCAGTTTTTTCATCAACCTCAGAGCGACTAATAATATATTCTCTCTTTTGTATTTCAGATCCGAAGCGCACTTCAAAGAGAACGTGAAGCGGTCGATAAAGAACGAGAGAAACAGAAAGAAAAACTGGACGAGATTAAAAACAGTTATGACGATATTTTGAAGCAAGTTCGTGCTGAACTCGAAGAAGAAAGAACCAGCCATCATCAGCTTCAAACAGCAGCACTTAAAATGAAGAAGGTGAGAATGGCATCAACCTAGCTTCATGCATGTGCATTGAGACTTAATTTTGTAGCACTTCAGTTTAATGTTTCTGCATCCTATGAAAATTAAACCCCTGAAACGGTATGTTTATTGTGTTTTCACTTAGCTAGAGATGTTTTTATTTCACGAAGCTCTAAACCCAGACGTCTCGAAGTTAAGAGCACAGAAACGTAATAGTCGGCTTTGTATAGTAGCAGGTCGTCAGCTAGAACATGACTTACCAACGGCCACCCAAGCACATTCTCATTTATATTCTTAGCTTGCATTAGGATTTCTGATTATTTATTTAGATTCACCATTGTAAATTAGGTATGGAAAACCAATCTTGATTCCTTAATGAGTTATTTTATCGTATTTTATCAACTTTAGGATATTACACGGTGGAGCGAAGATATGAAATTTATCTTCGAGTGGTGAAAATATTCCACTAGTAAGCGCAATGAGTGAAAAAAGTTTTCACCACGAGAACTAAACTTTATATCGCCAAGCCAGCGTTATTTTATCATATAGGCACATCAAAAAACAAAAACTTTGTGCAACTCGCGTTAAAGTAAATGACGCCATCGATATCTGGCCCCGGATGTAGCTCGTATGAAACATACGAGAGGCGTATTTGCCAATAAAACAATAGCGTCTATATGATAAATTCTTATTCGTTCTTACTGTTTTCAATTTTCAGGAAATCGAAAAACTACGAGAAACAAATTTACTCGCTCAAGAGGAAAAAGTAAATGCAGTCGCGCAACTGAGATCAGAATCCAAAGAGCAAATCGTTAAGTTGAAAGACAAAATTCAAGAGGTACGCAGTACTTATTTTTTAACAAAGGAACAAGACTTTGATTCCGGAAGAAATTTCCACAATGTATTTTATTATTAGTCGAGTTCTTTGTTTTTCAGAGTTAGCCTCGATTGTGTGTAGAATATTAACTTGTTAAAGTGATGGTCCGTGGAATTTCAAAGTGTTTGTGCATTCTTTACTTTATCATTGGTATTTGTAAGAGACGGTATCTGGTGTTTGTGAATATTTTGACATTGAAATGAGGCAGAAACTCATAAGAGAATTGAAACGTGTTTACAACAGCCATACATTTCTTTAGTACGTAATATAATAGAAGCGGCCATCTTGAATCAAACGTAAAATTCCAAGTATGGTATCAAAACTTCAAATGTGCATATCTGAATTTTCCGGAGCACAGTCTTAGTGTTACACATCTCAACCCCTTAGGAGTTTCTGAATGAGGCTAACTCCTGAGTAAATGAGTCTGTAATGAAAAAACAGAACATGCAGAAAGGGTACTGTAATCTGGATCATAATCTGTCGTTTTATTTCAGCTGGCACTAGTTACGGATAGAAATGAAAAGGACATAGTGTTGGAAATTAACGAGGAATGTCGCCGAGTGGCGGATGTGATTGGTGGATCACCAAACACCACGCCCATCAAGTAAGTCTTACCACAGGTAGCCCAGGCTTGTGAACAGACATATGAACATAGGTCACCCCCTTGTATTTTCCAAAAAATTTGATTCAATTTCCTCGTTTTTTTTATTTTTATTACTGTTTGTTTATTGTCAACTTAATGTTCATCTGGTCTTCCAGGTCGAACAGTTTGTCCAGCAGTTTCACTGGTAGTATCACAGGAAGAGAAAGTCCTGGATCCAACACTAACAGTCCTGCCCGTGATGCACTGGTAACTGACTTTTTATTTAGACGAAATTATCGATTTTCACCTACGTCATCATCATTTAAAAGCGTAATTTCACATTATCATAAAATAAAAGTTTAGAATCTAGTAAAGCGGTATAAACTATATATACTGGTCAATTTTCAAGGCTGTAGAACAATTGATAGACTTTTTTACTGTACTGAAGGTAAATTCTATTAAATTATTAAAAGGGAGTTAATAGCTAACGAAGCGACGGCGCTACTTCGCTTGGATAGTACAGCGGTAAACATCCATAGCGCATACGGCTATTCAAAACACAAAGACCATCGGTAGGAAAGGATGTTTATGAACAGAAAATACGACCAGCCAATACGATATATAAGAGAAGTGACCTACTTAGAATCTACGAATAACTGAAACAAATATATGTCGATCCAATACAAATTCTACGAACTAACTGAATCAAACACATGCATATATAACACAATCCGTCTGTTCTAGCGCCCTTGGTCGAAGGCAAAAGTTTTCAACTATGTTTTCAACTAGTTTTCCTTGTGACCTATATTACTGATTTTTAAAACATATATCATGTTTAGTTTTTTTTTTTTTTTTATGACGTAACGTGAAAAGCGACTATCTTTCGTTTTATGTTATTATTTTTCATTGCTTTGGGATGACGAAAGGGACTGTATGTAGGACTGTTTTCGATTGGTTTTCGTCACTCAAAAATAGAAAATGCTCAATTTTGTTAAGTTTGATGAACAGAAACCAAAACATGTGAAAACGTGCTCCTTCTAGAGGGGGCTGGGTCGCAGAAACATGAAACAGGAACTAATCAGTAAAGAAATCCTTTCTAGGCAAATCTAAAGTCGTGTAATGCCGAGCTAAGACAACATTTGATTGAAGCCAGGAGGGAAATGGAGTATCACAAGAACGATTCGTTCAGAAAACAGGTAATACATTCATTGATAGCCATGACATTGATTTGGATAAGGTTGGTAACCCTATGCTATCATTTTAGTTTTATTATGGGATGTAAGGCAGACTAAAAGTCTATATGCGTTTTCAGTGATGTGGTTGAATGAAAAATTACTAATTAACATTAATATATTTTTATGTGCCTTTCCTTAAACAATAGCTTTAGCTACTTTTAGGCATTGTCCAATAGATATCTGTTTGACAAACGTACGTCACCTATAGCCAAATTCCTAAGAACAAGTATTAATTTTGTATGATAAAGTTATATTTTGGTAAAAATAACAGTACAGTCCACACGATTAAGTAATTTCAACTTGTTGATGCAGCCTGATAGCGCAGATCTAACACAACAACAGATTAGTCTATTCAAGAAGGCTCTCAAGAGTAAGGTGAGTTTGTTTGTTCATTAAGTTTTAGGCATTCACGCGGTAGGATACATGATGTCTTATGTACAAGGAAAAACGCGATAACTGATTGATATTTATTATACACAGACCGAGATTATATCATTAAAATCTTGTTTAACATACTTTCGTTCGTTCACTTTTCCCGACCAGTCACAATGCGCATATCCCTTTTTCACGTTTGAGAAAAAAACGATGCGTCCAATCAAAAGCCACGTACGGTTTTTCTTCACGTGTGAAAAGAAATGATACGTCCAATCAAAAGCCACGTACGGCTTTTCTTCACGTGTGAGAAAAAACGATACGTCCAATCAAAAGCCAGGCGCTCGGTGTCATATCTGAGTTGAGTTAACGTTGTTTGTTGGTTCTTTCCTGTGCTTCGAGGGTTTTTCCGGGTTTTCGGTTTCTCCTCCCTCCACAAAAATCACCTTTCAAATTCTAGTTCGATCTATCGGTTTCCTCGTAATCGGGCCCTACACCTGTAAGGCTTTCTGTCCACCTCAGTGGTAAAGTTGTGTAAACAAATTTATAACAACGAGGGAAGGCAGTGTTGTTCTTAGAAGAAGGCGAGTTTACTAAATAAAAGGAACTTCGGTAAGCTTTCTCAATCGTTTACCGTAAACTAAACCTTATTCCGTGAGATAGAGCCTAGGAATGAGTTAAAAAGATTATAATTTGATAATTTAATGTAAAAAACTATGAAGAGAAGTTGTTTAGTATGCTTGTAAAACAGCGTTTTTAAATATGGAATTAAATTAGCCTTTGAATTATTTTTAGTTGAACTTTGTAAACTGAAATAATGTTTTAATTCCAACTTAATGATCTCCGTATCAATATATTAAACAGAAAACACTATGGAAAGTGCTTTGTACAGTTTTGGTTCACTCGTTCTTTCGTAGCATAAAATTCACTCGCTCGTTTGTTTTATGATACTTCACAACTCGTAAATAAAAACCGTACGCGCGCACTTTCCGTGTATTAATCTCTATTTCTTTTTTATATCTTAATATCTTGATATAGGACGACGAAATTGCCAGACTTAAAAGGTAATGACATAGAAAATTATTCCTCATTCAAAAATTATTTTGCCCTTATCCACCCTTCCTCCCCAACGCTTTCCATCCATCCATCCACACACCCATCCATGCATCCATCCGTCCACCCGCCCATCCATGCATCCATCCACCCACCCATCCACCCACCCATCAATTCATCCATCCATCCATGCATTCATCCATCCACCCATCCATCTATCCATCCACCCACCCTTCCTTTCTCTTTCATTTCTACGGTATTTGATGAATGTTATTTACATTTCGTCCAAGACGAGTGCAAGAAGACACGAACAAGAGCATGGCGCAGTTTAAGTTAGAAAGAGCGGTGAGTATCTCTGAATACGTAATGTCCAAAATATCTGTCTAAAAAACGTCAAGAACATCGAGAGAAAAGATCTCTTTATCTTGGGCGTAATGTTTTCCCATTTCAGACCACGTGTTATAGGGAATAAGATTCAATTGTCTTCTTATACACAGTCGTTAAACAAAGAAATGATAATGTTGAATGCTGTTTCTCGGGATAGCAATAACGTAGAAATTTTTTCCCCCGGCCTTTTGGCCAAAACTCTGACATCTATGACACCTGGATACCATAAAAGAAATTACAATCTAGTCATCTAAAATGGGAAAACATTATAGATCTCAATATTTGTGAATTATTTGAGAATTAATGCTAAATAAAATATGGTTATCATTACATCATTATAATAAGGTTTAGAATGAAGGTTTTTCACCATCACGTCAGGCAGCCATGTTAGATGGAAGGAACGATACTATCGTTTTTACATGAATTAAATTCCAGAGAGTAAAGGGATTTTATCGTTCTGCCATTSAACGTGATGGCCAAAAATTATCAATTATTATTACTTGATGGAGTAAAACCTTTGTTACAAGAATATCAGTATTTTGTACTATTCCCTCCTCCCCCCTGTACCTTGCGGTACGGACACTCGAACCATGAACACTTCAAGGTTTTTTTGACATTTTTTCATAACTAACCGATCACAGCTCTCTGTAGAAACAAAGGAATCAAGCTTTTTTAGGCGCCATCCAATCATAACAAAAGGTGGACATTCTTTTGATGTTTTAATCTTAGCTCACTCCGTGTGAATAGAACTAATGAACTGCTAAATCACGTATTAAAACGTGGTAGTAGGCAAAACTGTGGCATAAAGTGCAAACTTTCAATAATTTACGGAAATAAAGCAAAAATATCGTTCATTGACAAAGTATATTGTAGCTGTTCTAAAATAACTGATGCACTATATATCGTAAAAAAATTAAAACTCAATAAGAATCCGCTTCTGATTGGATGATTCAAAATCGTTTTAAAAACCTTGAAGTGTGCATGGTTCGAGTGTCCGCACTGTAATCGGTGTACTATGAATGGAAGCAGATCTAGTATAAAGTAAAGAAAGTCATAATAGTAATAAACTTATTTGCATTTAGGTTATGCAGAAGACGATAGACCGTCTTGAAAAAGATCTCAGAGAAACAAGAAAATTGGTAAGAAACTCATGACGAGTTCGAGACTAAATGACTTAGATGACGTCATTCCCTAGAGTATTATACCTTTATCTAATTGTAATACTTAAAATAAACGAATCTTATTCTTAAGAGAATGCATGGCAATTGGTTTGAAATGAGAAAACATTAAGCGCAAGCAAAAGATGTCTTTAACAAAACGTTGTTGCAAATTTGTACGCTTTTTAATCTTATGTTAGATTCCTGCGTCCAGTCCAATTGTAAACGGCCATTGCTCGTTAGAAAACACAAGCACCAGTGGAATGGGCACGAGTTTCAGCTCATGCGCAAGTCCAAGGCCTGGGGAGGACAGTTCCACATSGAGGCTCTTACGTCACTTACAGGGTAGAGTTCAACAGCTTCGCGCTCAGAATGATAGTCTGAGAAGTGATTCATTGAATGAGAGTCAGTCAAGTGTCAGTACTGTTGATTCAACGGTAGGTGCAACCATCTACTTCTGATCTAAATTGCACAGGCCTTTTATTACTTCAATAAGCCTTTTCATAGTTTAAGAATCGATTCCACTGCGCATGCGATTTTATCCCGAATTTCTCACCTTCTTTTGTTTAATTAAGAACAAAAGAAGGCTTAGACAAAAGAAGGTGAGAAATTCGGGATAAAATCGCATGCGCAGTGGAATCGATTCTTAAACTATGAAAAGGCTTATAAACAGGATGCATTGTGGTCTAGCTAATTACTATCATGGCCAAATAAAACGGGAAAGCCTCAAAGTTGCCATATTTATTAATTTGTTTGTTTATTTATTTATTTTTGGTTAAATATTATTTAATTCAAATGCTTCTCTGATATTTTTTATTTCGTTTTTTCAGTTCTTATCTCATTTGTTTCTTTGTTGATTGTAGTATGTTGACGGTGCTGAATTAGACCAAACCAGAAAACTCCACTCAGCTCTACAGGTAAATTACCTTCTTACACATGGCATAGCCTTCCAAAGTAACCACGGGCATGTAAACCATTCGTAACCAAGAATGTTCTCTTTACTTCAAATACGTATCCCAACATTTTTCTTTAATTTCATTTTGAAAACATTTTTCCCCTGGTTTTTGTGTTTCAAAGCTTTCTGACCAGCGTGCTAACAGGAATGCCGCCATGTTGAGCCAAAAGATGTTGGAGATGACAAAACTACAGAAAATGCTCACTCACGCCACAAAGGTTTGGAAATAGAGCAGTTTTAATTGCTTTCTTGAATGGTGACCAGATCATTTTCCGCGGCGCCATCTCGGAAAATCAAATTTCTATTGCCAAAAAGAGTTTGGAACGCAATGCATTCAGTCGTGGGAAATTCGATCCCAAACCCTTAACTCGTTTTAAAAGAGTTTAAGTTCTTGCCCTGCTGTATTTTCTAAAATACAGTATAGACTGGTGTATATATATATAGATATAGAGTCCATCCCAAGACAAAATATACGATTATACAGATATAACTGTCATGTGTCTTAATTGATAGAAATCGCATTTTACAGTGTTCCACAACTGTGGTTCGAATAAATAAAGCGTTTTATAGACGTGTAAAGAGGCAACACAAAGAACTTTTTGAAGTGCTTCGAAGCTGTTAAGGGCTGTACGTATATGTGTAGATTTCGGTCACAAGTTTAAGAGCCTGATCTCGTTTTTTATTTACTCGTCTTCCATATCATATCGCTCACTCGCGGAATCGCTCGTTCGCGATATCATATGGAAACTCGTGAATAAAAACAATATCAAGCTCTTAACATGTGATAATCTCTATTATTATGTGAAAATATCCTCATTTTCATTTTTTAATTTTAATTTCAGGAAAACATGAAATTAGAAAGAGCGTATGCATCCTTACAGCAAAAGATTATTGATACATCGCCTTAAACTAACACCATTCATCGAAAAAACAAAATACGTCGCCGCCATAATTTGTGCAACATGGCAGCTTTGAAAATCAAATTTTCCTTCCATGAATTAATTGAAAGCTTTAACGTGTCTGTCTTATTAGTATAGGAAATCGCACGATATCGAGTACAATTAGGAATTTATAGGTACGAGTGATGTTTAGAAAGTTTTCAAAATTTCAAAACATCACGCGGAGTATCTATAAATTCCGAATTGTACGAGAAGGTTGTGCGATTTTTTGTTTATAATACACTCAAAAAAATTGAGCAAAAATTGGGACTCTAGAGAGTACAATTTGGGATTTAATTGTACTCCTCTTGTCCAATCAGAATGGAATAATTTTGTAGAGTGTATTATAATTCGTTTAATTGACGTAAACAAATTCCAGGCTTTTCGAACAGCTAGTTGACACAATATATCTGTATATATACAGTCAATTCAAAAAATGTTGTGGTCGACCAACTCAAGCCTACGCGACTGGACCGAAAGGAACTCTGGGTAGCAATCATTGAAGCCGAGTTGACTCCATAATTTTATCTGACTAGTTATGCCTGGTTTAAAGCACGAACCTTCGTAGGCGTGCGGAAATGTTGAAGGAGACTTTTTTYAGTGCCTTCATATTTTCGGGATTGTGAACTGAATCACAACTACTTTGTTTTTCTTTCCTTAAACCCAAGAAGACATGCATTTAATGGATTTTTTACTCGCCATTATTATCTTTGCTACTAGCGGGAACAATTAATTCAGAACGAATATTTAACCAGTGATTTTTACCCATATTCCTTTCGGTCCAGTAGCGTAGGCTCGGAACCGGTCGACGACGACGTTTTTTGAATTGACTGTATATACGTGTGTGCGATGTTTTTACAACAGTTTTAGGTATATTTTTTTATAATCATATTTTAAGTGTTTACTTTTGATATTTTGTGTTTCCACCAATGAGTGTAATGAGTGTTTTGATATTTTAAAGTATAATTCTAAGTTATTTTAGTTTTTTTATGATATAAAATTTAAAAGGCGTGTAGACTATACTCGTACTACTTTTTCATTGCTTTGAAAGTCTTTTTTCGTCTATAGAGGGCTGCAAGATAGCAATTTTCCTTTTACAGCTTAAATAATTTTTACATTTCTATCTCGCCCAAACCATGTTATTATCTGATCTCCAAGCACATAACACTGAAAAAATGTGTGCTAGAAAGAAACTAGAATAATTTTGAATGAAATGAAATGAAAAGGAACTCGAACTGAGAAAGTTTGATTGTCTCGATCATTGCTTTGCTATAATTTCCCGCCTCGAAAGCAAAATATACTCGAATTTTCTCTCAGTGGTTTTAGTAAATATATTAAGAATCCATGWATAAACACATAATATATTCATCTACATATTTGTTTAACCTTGTTTAAAAATGAGTAAAAAATACTAGTAATAAAACGATATGTATCTGTAAATCTTTTAGCTAAGTATCTTTACCCATAAGCACTGCAAACTCAACCTCCTGTGCATGCGTGAGAGGGATGTGCCATCCTCTCCCAAAAGTGTTGAGTAGAACTGGAATGTCTTGTTTTATCAACGACGCTTAGAAGAAGAAGAAAAAACTATCAACTTATCACGTGCGGATCCAGGAATTTTAGAAGGGGGGTGACTTAAAAGTTTTTAACAGGATTTGAAGGAAAAGGAAAGTGACTATTACTTACGCTATACTGAGGAATTTGAGCAAAAAGGGAGGTGACTTGTCACCTATTTTTACCACCCCTGGATGCGCCCCTGATTATATTGATGACACTGAGATTAATTTTATCGATTCCCCCTGAAACAACCTCTGGGCTGATCGAATTCAGGGCACGGCTAACTCGCGGATTGCGTTGGCATTTGGCAAATTAGGTTTTGAGAGGAAGGAACCACGAAGGAAAATTCTTGATTCAAGAGAGCGACTCAACAATCTCTACTCACGTGATGTCAAGTCTGGGAATCCAAAAGAAAAGGGATAGGGCTATGATGAGGAGGACAGAAAGATGACTGATGAATAGTATATTCAGTTATGTGTCCATGAAGCTGTTCATTTATTTATTTATTCATTTGCGACTATAAACACATTTCAAAATCAAAATTAGAGTAACACAAATATAAATCACTAATCAGTTATTAATTGTTTGAATTGAAGATACCCGCCAAATAACATGAACGATGTTAGGGAGGCTCCACACCGTTATCTTTAATCGTGTTGCATCGGAAAACGTTTGACATTTGCAATACAAAAAAAAGTCACCAAAATTCTCAACTTTTACTCAATCCTTTAACTAGCGCCGTTTTGATGTTTTTTCCTATTTTATCTGTTATCGCAACAAAAAAACTGAAAAATGACGGCTCAATAGCGAAATTATTTTAACTGACCCCCCCCCCCCCTTTAATGTCTTCTTTTTTTCCACTGACCAGATTACAAATTTTAACGATAACGTCTTTTGTTTTTGTTTTTTTCAAGTTCATTGCGATGCTTGGCATGGTAGTTGCCTTTCCTGGTTGACAATGTCGTACAGTGATATTAAACATTTTTTCCACATAAGATTTCAATTTATTTATTAGCTTTTTATAAGCTAAAGACGCCGCTTAGTTTAATATGTTCTTTCGATATTATTCCAATTCATCGTTATGTAATACAAAGAATTCACGGTTTTGTTAGGATTACTATCTCAACATAAACTATCTATTTACCTTTCTTTATAATTAAATTTCAACGTTGATAAAAGCAGTGCTTAATCTTTAAGGATATCTTTTTAAGTCCTCTCTTCGTAGAGCAGGGTACGTCCCAGAATAACAGCGATGAACAAGAGATCAGTTAACATGCTGTTCATTATCTTCGTTCTCGTGCTCGTGGCTACTGTGCATAGTTCTTCCAGTGCTTGTGCAATGACAGAAAACGGTTGTAAGTATTTCGTTGTTTGTTTGTTTTCGTGATAAAGAAAAGCCAAAATTATAAGAAAAAGGAAGAAAAGAAAGAGCAGTGGGAACAAGATCAGAAAAACTTTGCAATTTTTACTGTCAATTGTTTTTTTTATTTTATCACACGGGACTACACATTTGATTTGAGTTTGTTTGATGTGTTCTTCTGTTAGAGCCTTGTCAAGAAGGTTTTTTTCTCAAGGTCCTGCGGTTTTCCTCCCATCCCTCAGTAAAAATGAATATATGCATATAAAACTAAATGTAAAGTAATAACAATGTGAGTGGGAATCAAGGGTAGTCGGTGCAGTGTACTTGCCGATCTCTCAATCACTTGGCCGGTTCGATACGTGGACTCGCCTTTACATGTGAGCACAGTTTGTTAGGTTTCCCCATTCATTCGAGAGTTTTTTTACCGAGTTCTCTGGTTTTTCTTCCTCTGCAAAATATAACAAGCTACTGACTTCCAATTCCATCTGTGCTCTGACTTCAATTTTGATCAACCCAGAGCTAAGCTGTTTAAGGGTGGTATCCATAAAAAAACGTTTCGTACTGTTAACTTAGGTTGTGACATTCTGTCCGAGGAAAGCTGTAACCTCTTCCGAGAAGACAACAAGTGCAGTGCCCCTTCCTTCAGTCATTACTGTCAGTACACATGTGGAAGATGCCATGCTGGTAAGTGATGTCAAAGTCACAAAACAAAATAAAAACATGAGGTATTTTATTAATGTAGCCTGTATTCGTTGAACCAGTCTCAGGGCGCGACATCACTATCTATTCACTAGTACCGTCAAATGAAAATGCATGGCCGTCACTGTCACAGTACGGCACGCTCGTACCGTAAATACCGTAATTAACTGACCAATCACACAGATCGTGGAATCACTACCTGTCCAATATAATTGTTTGACCGTCATGGTCATGGCACAGCTCTCTCCTCTACCGTAAGATTCTTTTTCTACGGTAAAACAAAAGCTGGTCAATAATGCTTTGGCATGATGTCACCGTAAAATCCATACAGTGTTAGTATAGTAGCTAATAGGCAGGACAATTGCTTCGGGAATAGAAAAGTTATTTACATTTTAGTTTGAAACTTTTTCCGTACGTTTACAAAACAAAATATTCATAAAGTAGGACAACGCATCTTTCCGAGGTCAATTTGATGACATTCCGATTAGACCCGATCACTAAGAAAAATTTGTTTTTGGAACAATGGGTTTGAAGTATTTTCCCATGAGACCAGGTTTAGCTCTATTGAGAATACATTTCTTTGTTTAATTATAACATGTAACCATATTTATGTGCCTTCATCTCATGCGCATTATTCTTCATACAAAGTCGTCATACACTTTTGAATATCCTTCACTAGTAACCTTCATACCAAATGCATCATCGTTGCTGTATAGACTTTGGTATCGTTGAGACATAATATACTTGTCTTTCTCCATCCTCGAACCATTCACAGGACTCGTGTTCTAAACTCGACTCACTAACACTTCTTTCGTGTTGTGCAAATTACCGTTTGCTTCTATAAGTTGCGCACGATTGAGTCATCTTCAACATCACGACCAAAGAAAATGGATCTACTGTTAATCTTAATAAATAAAATAAATAGACATCCTCTGTTTGTCTTAGAATGGCGAAGAGTAACGAAAGAAATGGTCCAATCAACGTACAGCGTTGGTGTCGAACTGAAGTACAGTGACATTGGAGGGGGTCTGCAGATAAAGGGCGACGTCACAAAGAATGGCTGTGGAAAAACTACTGGCTCTGGCGCGATTACCTTCATTAAAGGTAACTGGATTAAGATCAAGTACACTCAGGAGTTCATTGGGAGAGTATCGTGTTGGAAGATATTTGGAGGGACAGCATATCCTAAGTACAGGTAACTTTAGAGATCGATTAATGAATGGAAGGGGATGAATGGGAAGCGATTGATATAAGGATAGATAATTGGAAAGGATCGACAAATGGGAAGGGATGGATAAATCACAACAAACTAACAAGCGAACAAACGAAGAAGTAAGCAAAGATACTTGTTGTAAACGAAGAACAGTGCTTCGAAAACGCTGCGAATGTCGGGACTTTTTTTGGGCCAAACAAGTTGAATTTCCCCCCCCCCCCAAAACCTTGAATACATCCCATCAGTATTTTATACACCGCCAAGTTTACATTAGTCATTATATGATTGATAAAGAACCCAATAGTCGAACTCCATACATTTCTTCATATGGACCACAACTTCCAGGTCAAAATGACGGGACGTTTTTTATGAATTTCACAAATATTTTAGCATTTCTAGATAGCACAATAACCAAATGATTGAAATCCGAGTGTACATTGTGAGAAAACAAGTCATCAAAGATATGAAAAGTTGAACTTTCCTCGAAAAGTTGCTCATTTTGCTACAATTTAGGGGTAAAATTTGGGGGTCTGGGAGCTAGTTTCAAAAATTAGAAGCTAATGTCCCGAATATTTTACTATGAATAGATGGATGGTTGCTTGGATGGATGAATTAGAAAAGATAGAGGGATGGATAGATAGATGGGTAGCTATTTGAAGGACAGCATACTCTAGGTCAAGTAACTGCTAGCCGATTTTTTTGTAAACAGTCCTACATGACAATACTCAAAACTTGTTAGCATCGAGCCCGCGGCGTCGCGCATTCTGCTAAATAACTTAAAGGAATGTGTAAATATTCACAATTAAACTATAGAATTAACAAGCGAAAAAATAAAAGGTGAAAACTTCATATTTGAATGTACTACATGCAATGATATACTCACAGGCACATGTAATTTATAGACAGTGGAAGGGTTAGTAGAAGGCTGGGTAGGTGGATGGGGATTAAATGAGATTATTTGGTGGATAGATAATAATAATGATAATAAATATGTTCTTATATAGCGCATTATAGTTTCTCAATGCGCTTCGCTTCGCTTTAATCTTATGACAGTAAGTGCTTTGATAATTTATGAACACGAACAGGGTGTATGTAGCTGCGTCCCTTTATTTCGTAAAATTTTATTGCTTTTATTTCATGTGTGTTTAGAAAGCAGTTTGCTTTTTCTATTGATGATGAATGTTACTACCCGCGAATCAACAACCTGATGGATCTGTCGGCTGCAGAAGGAGACAAGATCTACGGCGAGCACCTGATGAATAGCGATAACAGTGAGTATCATAGCTGCTGCCATGTTATGAGATATCAGTTTTCTAAGTAACTCAATTATCATCCATTGTATAATCACCAACGAATCCTGCAATCTTATTGAATAAATGGAGTCATATTTATGATGTCAAATTACACTTATGACCCTCAGTTCAAATACATAGAGGTTAATTAATACACTGCCATTTGTGTATTACAGCCGGATAATTTTACGAGTGAAAGCAAAAAAGCTGTTTTATTCGTTTTCTTATATAGTTACTAATTTTATTTCGGTATTGAATTTATTYAGGCAAAAAGAAAGAAGATCGCCGGATCTAGAAGTACTTCGCGCGCGCGGATGGCGTCAGAACTGTGCTACGTTCACGAATAAAGCACAGTTTCCGACCAATCAGCGCGCGCGTACTATCCAAACTATATAGTATAACATCATTAACTTTATTACTCTCAATATTTTCATTATATTATCGTTTATACGGTTATTTTCAAATCTTGAAAAGGAGAAAACCCTCAGTCGAATCAAGGGATCTAACAAACACTATGCTACTCACATATCTTTTTCATCAGATTCTAAGTTTGATGGTAGAGTTTATCGATGTGACAACAAGACGCAAAACTTCTGGGAGAGCAATAACGATAAAGGAATGCGCGGAGCCACGGTAGAGCTGCGGCGATCACCAGCTGGAGGTGAAGCGGGTATATCAACAGAAACATCGTGTGGAACACCACGCTACATCATCAAGGATATCTATGTGAAATAATTGGTTTATCACCAAAAACGTAAATTTACAACAATAAAACGATTAAAATATGAGACCTATTCGTTCATCGTCTTTGATTGACTTTCAATATTTAAAAAATTTCCAATAACCATTAACCATTATTTGTTTAGTGTCAATTACAATCTCCAACAATAAAATCAATACCACACATCCTAGGCTATAATTAATACCTTTTGGCCTTAAGCCTTGCCCTAACCCTAGCCAACCGTAACCCTAGTTTATAACTACGAACCTAACTTGGGATAGAGTGCAATTCTGTTTAAACCTGTTAAGGACGTTAATGGGGATCCTTTCTACGCATGAATTTAATGAGCGCGCGATCATCGTAATTGGTGACAAAATTTCATAAAACATAACATTTAATCTCCATCTAATAGCTCTAAAACAAAGTCAGAAATCCTCCTTTATATTTTTAATTCCTTTTAAAAAAGTACTTTGTAATACACCTCACTTTATTAGAAAAATTAAAAATCTGACGATGGGATCAAATCGAAATTCCATATTTTGTGCATAATTGGAATAGATTTTCACGTCCACACTTGCAGTGCAATCACATTTTTATAATTCTAATTTTTAGCACAAATTTTCCAAGTTTACGTTGTTCGCGCGTTTTTACCGAAAAAGTGCGAACTTCCACGCATTCTGACGAATCAAACGAAGTCAAACCATTTTTATTTGCTTATTTTACTTCTAGTATGATGTAGTAGCTCATCATGCAAAATACATGTCGATTTAATAAATAGAGTTTTTAATGTGTGTGTCCTCTTATTGACGATAAATACGTCACGATGCGTAGGTGTAAAGAACCGAAAGTAAAGCTAATAAGTGTGAGCTCGCGCAATGCTAGACATATCCCGCATCGAATAGTTAAATTCCATCTCTTGATCGATCCTGATATAATAGCTATTCAAAGCCTTTATTGGCTAAGAACTTCGTGGTTGTACGAAATCCGAAAGTAAGTTTCTCGTGTAAGACGATTGATAATAGAGAGTTTTAGATTGACTTTTTTTCTCCCCGCAAACGGCAAACGTGACCACGTTTTCATAGTTTTCCTTTATTTTACTTCTCCTTTTACAAACCTTCTCWCCAAGCGCAAATACTCTTTTGTTTTTCTACTACTTAAACTTTTTTGCGATTCTTTTTCAGTAATTTAAAAGAATTTTTTACTGGTCAACTGACGTTTCACGTTTGCCGTGAACATAAATCTAAAACTCTCTACTGTTTGATAATATCCTACCAATGCTTCTCAATTAACTGCAAGTGTTGTTCAGTTGGTAGACACGTTTATTACTAATAAATTACATATTCTTAGTAAAACAAAAATTCAGTTTCATGTATTTCTATAATTCTAAAAATAAGATTTTATTCATCAAGATATAGCGATTGCTGTATTCTAATCTCACTGACACTTGACAAAAACGTTTTCCAAGAAAGTATAGAGCTTTTTAGTGTGAACAGAAATATTCTCGGAATACGTAAAAAGTCCCTTACTGAGGTAATGATTCTGTGTAATTATTAAAAAATATATAAAACAATTAGCCTTTAGCTTCAAGAACTGACTTTTTTACTATTTTGTAGAGTTCAGATGTCAATTTGCATTATTATATATTAGTATAAATACATAGGTGATTATTGAAAAACTCGCGCGCTGATTGGTCGAAAAACATCACACGATAATCACCTCCAGCGATAATCCAAAATGGCGGCCAGCCGCTTTGTTGCCGTTACCGGAAAAGATTATTTTTTCTTTTTTTGAAAGAATCACTCGTGTATTTATACTAAAACAATTATTCACCTCAGGCTCAGTGAATATCGGGAATAATAACGTCGACTTCGTTTCGGCTATCATTCCCTGATATTCACTAATAATAACTGTTAATTGTTACAATATCACGAAGACATATTTTCATAAAAACTAAGAGCATGCGCAGATGTTTCTCTATTCTGGCGGCCTTGCTTGGGTGTAAACATATTTTGTTACGTCTTACATAGTGATACTTGTCCCAAACATTAAAGCAACATCAAACTAATATCTAAAAGGGGTATACATGTTCGTAATGTTTACGAAGCTCAATAAAGACTGGCAATAACATTAATCGGTATTATTATGCTCAGTTAATTAGCTATTTTACTATTATATTTTCATCCGGGAATAAAACTTTGAATGGGAAAGAGAATTCGTGAAGCATTCCTGTAGTGATAGTAAAATGAAGTCATCATGCAACGGCCTACAGAGGATTTGCACCATCCGGCACGTGATGGCAGCCACGTCCGGAGGCACAAGAATAGGATCTTTTCCACCGTGGAACCAGATTAGGCCAGATTCAATAGGCCCTTTGCAGTTAACGGTCGAGTGCCTGTACCGGCGAGCAAAATTTTTTATTTTATTTTAAATCGGTGATTCTTTTTAGCTAGTTGTGAAGAACTGAATGAAACGATGTGTAACCAGTGTGTTACGAAATGCAGTTCTATTACGATCTCTCGAAACAGATTGTAGAAATTTTGTTTGCTCACCAGTATATTTCACCMATGGGAATCAAGATGTTCATTCATTTGCTCTCAGTGAATTAATCTGTGATGATGGCTGCCATCACGTGATGGTGCAAAGCCTCCATTGTTGAAAGTTTAACTTAATGATGATGATTTCATGATATTTCACATTTATATTAAAACTATTCTATTTGAACTCATTGTCAATTAATAATTCCATGTGTAAAAATAGCTTCACTTGCACTTGCTTGGGTAAGCAAATACCAGCACACGTGAAAAACGTTTGCGCAGGCGTGTATTTATGCACTTTTTCAATATTGCAAGAGGAGTAAAATAAATACTCGTTTTCTTCGAATATAAGTACTCGTTTTGTAAGTATACTATGGGGAGTCCAATACTAACATCAAGTTTTGGCATTTTGGCACGTTAGTACGTACAAAGGCGTTTTGGACTAATTTGCATACGGTCTTGGAGCTTGCGCAGACGTTTTTCAGTCGCAGTCACTTTTCATTTTGTTCAATCAAAATGCACATCCTCCTCTCGTTCAAGGACACTGAGATTCCAATAATTTAGTTTAAAACTCGCAGATCGCAGAATATCTTAATAATAGATGGCCGATTTTCAATATTTTTTCTCAATTAAAAACTAGTTTATCTTGCAAGCAACTCTCGCTTTTTGCAACCCGTCAGATTTTTGGCTTAGGGTCCCTGAGCATCGATTTGAGCATCGATGAGAGAGACTAGGTACTAGAAGTCATTTCCAATCTTAATCTTCTTTACTTCAAGGACACACTAACCGGGGCCACTTGAAGTAAGCTAACCAGTCACGAAAAAGAGTGAAAACAATGGAAGCAAACTTAAGTCAAACTTGAAGTAATCAGGAGCAAGCAATGATCCCTAGATATCTGAGAAAAACTTATTCAACTTATTACGTTTTGTTCAAGTGGTCCCAGTTAGTGTGTCCGGACAGTAAACGACACAGGAATTGGATATGATAAAGCGAGAGTTGCGTGGAGGAGGCTGATAAATCATAAGCAAAATCAAATGAAAAGTAAGAATTAAAAATAATTAAATAAAAGAGTAATCGTCAATAATTATCTTAACTCCAAACGTCTGTTGAGTATCTTCCTTTAGCACCCAGTTTCTTGACGAAGTCGATCGCCTCGTTTTCACTCATTCCTCCATTTTCACGTGCGATTTCTACAATCACGGAATGGACATCACGTGCCATGTTCCTTGCATCGCTAAAGCACAAACACAAACAAAAAAATCAAACATAAGTTAAAAGGTTTTTGAATGGTGGAGCCGAGTGCTAAAAGATATTTGATGGAGAGAAGTACTGAATCAGGTGGTGAGTGGTGGAAAGGAATGCTAAATCTGTTGCTGATTGGTTGAAAGTAATGCTGAATCAGGTGCTGATTGGTTGGAAAGGGATGCTCACTTCGCTGATGATTGGTATAAAATGCTGAATCAGGTGCTGATTGGGGGAGAAGAGTGCTGAATATTATTTGTTGATTGATGGAGAGAAGTGTTGATAATTACCCACAGACGTAGATATGGCCACCATTGTCCAAAATCTTCCAGATAGATTCCTTGGTGTCTTTCATTTTGTTTTGTACATAAACTTTATTTTCCTTAAATAATAAAATAAATAAATAAAAATAACAATTTATTATCATTATCATCATCATCATCATCATCATCCGTTACATAGAACATCCCCAAGAAAGTGAAAGAAATAAAAGAATAAACATCAGAAATATTTTGTGATTTTGAGAAGGGGCAAATTATTTCATTTAGAGAGTACAGAACAAATGAGGAAGGATGGAGAGGCTATAAACTTGCTCCTCCACCCCCACCCCCCGCGCCCTCCGTTCAGTCGAACCTAACCTCATACCTGGTTAACTCGTCTTACCTGTTCCCTGGAGAAAGCTACGTGCAGCTGTGTAATAGTTCCATCCTTTACATATTCAGATAACTCGTCTTCATAGATGTAGTCTTCACTCTTTTTCCTGCAGCCAAAGTAAAGTACAGTATCGCCAACCTTTTTGCCTATTGAAGAAGATAAAAGTTGATGAAGATGAAGAAGGAGGGGATAGAGGAATGAGAAATAAGTGCAGAAGAGGAGCAGGAGCAAGAGCAGGAGCTGGAGCAGGAGCAGGAGCAGGAGCAGGAGCAGGAGNAGGAGCAGGAGCAGGAGCAGGAGCAGGAGCAGGAGCAGGAGCAGGAGGAGGAGGAGATCTTGATAATCATAAACTTTACCTTGTTTAACCGAATGATGGCGATCTTGGATGAAACCCCTGAAAGGTGCCAGGCCTGTGCCAGGACCGACCATGATGACTGGCGTGACAGGTTTGAAGGGGAGACGAAATGTTGTCTTACGTACAAAGATTGGGACATGAGGACAATCATCACCTGGGAATGCATAGATAACAGAATCACAATCAAACCTCATCACTATAAAGCAGATTCCAGACTTACGTCTTTTAAAGAGATATGTTTTTCCGCGGGTCTAACTGCTAACAACAAAAACCAATAAAATAAAGCGAAAAATGTTCTAAACGATTCAACCTCCACCGGAAACAGTTAGAATTTTGAACAACAATTCCTGTCATGAAGGGAATTGAAGAAAAATCTGACCAAGGGTGCTAGGGCAAAAATTGGTGGTTTTTTAGCCGCTAAACTCCGTTATATTGGTGTTTTTTAGTTTTTTTTTGGATGTCAGTTTGAATGGAACTGGTTTTTTAAAACTGTTTCTAATTTACAGCCATAGCAAAACCGTAAGTTGACAAGTAGGTCGGGGTTCGGGTTTCGGCGAGGCCAGTTCGGCTAGATCCGAAGTTGGTTCGTTAGGTTTCGTTGGTTACACATCTGTCGTCGCTGAGTAAACAAATTGCCACCGTACCTTTCACTTTAATCCTATTATACGAGCAGACAAGAGAACAACAGATTGGCCTTTCTTTTCCTACCCCTGTTCATTCTTGGTTATTTAGGGGATTTGGATTAACTTATTAACTTATTAACCCACGCGTACGCTTACGCAAGCGGTCACGTGGCACGGTATAGGATACAGTAGTTCGTTACGTACGATTGGAACGTAGGTCACAGCAGTATTTTTGGCGTATATAGACGGAAAAACTAAAAAAATCAAGCCAGCACATAACAGAACAGATGAGTAACAGTTCAAACAGTTTGTAACGGCTAAAAAAACACCAATATAACGGAGTCTAACGGCTAAAAAACCACCAATTTTTGCCCTAGCACCCTTGATCTGACCTAAAGTTGACGTCACATTTAACGTCTCTACTGCTCAGCCATTCAAAGTGTTAAGACAAGCTAGGTACCGTCATGGTCACGTCAAGGAACGTCCGCACCATTAGCTATCCTGTAATTACACCCCTTGCTTTTCCTACCTTTCGGTATCTTGGTTTGAAGCCACGTGGTTGCCACGCCCTTCTGTAGTCGTCCTGTTTTGGTCGTGTAGCGTACGACGACTGCGGTCACGTGGATTGATTTGGGGTTTAACTAGAAATAAAAGATAGGGATATAACTTGTAAGAGAAATCATATTCTTCTTGATGCAATGTTGTACCCAGAGCCCACGTTCCTCTTTGTCAGCACCGAGAAACAATAGACTCTAGCGACAACTGATTTTTTGAGCATTCTGACTGGTGAGAATAGGTTCTGATTGGTTTGGAAATAAAATGACTAAAAGTCTCGAAAAACTTTGGAAATAAGTGTATATTTTGAGCATTAAATTAGCTTTGATCGAACTCAAGATTTACTAGGATATGGAACAATAATCGATCTTTTGTATCCCCAAAGTAAATAAATAGGATACCCTAATTTAAGTGAATTTTCGCGAGAATAACTGCAAAGGCAAATTAGCGGCCGGTTGCTCTCTTAAAAATGAAATCGCTTTTCTTTTTACCTCGTGACAAATTATTACTGTATTATTTTTTGTTTTTGTCTCGAGTAGCATTTCATCATCAATCACCCTGTATAATTATCATCATTAGTATCCGCATCGTTCATCGCCAACACTGATTTCATCTTAATTTATCATCATCACCGTCATTACATGTATTATCCTTTTTCATCATATTATCATTTATCATTGCCATCATCATCATCGTCATCATCGTCATCATCATGGTCATCATCATCATGGTCATCATCATCATCATGCATCCAAGATCACTGCTAAGTCTTTTCACATTTAATTCTCTTGGAAACTATAGCAAGCCAAATTAATAGCCAAAACTAGAACAGCATCGTCATTCATACCTTGGAGGAAGACGATATTGAATAATATCTGCACTGCAAGCGAGGCAAGAGCTCAAGGATGTGTGCCAGGGGAGGTCGAAGGGACGGCATGTCTTCAAGCACAGCCACAATATGCCGATGACATTTGACGATCCATTCGTTGTATTGGTGCTGTTGAGCAATCATACTACAGGTTCAAAAACAAATAGAAATGAAGCAAATATCAGGTCCAGGGCTGGGGGTTGAACCCTCAACCATAAGGTACACATACCCTTGAACATATGATGGCGGGTCCATAGCTGGGGATTGAACCCTCAACCATAAGGTACACATACCCCTGAACATATGATGGTGGGTCCATGGCTAGAGATTGAACCCTCGACCATAAGGCACACATACCCCTGAACATATGATGGCGGGTCCATAGCTGGGGATTGACCCTCGAACATAAGGTACACATACCCCTGAACATATGATGGTGGGTCCAGAGCTGGGGATTGAATCCTCAACCATAAGGTACACATACCCCTGGACATATGATGTCGTGTCCAGGGCTGGGGATTGCCCCTCGACCATAGGGCCCACATACCCGTGAACATATGATGGCAGGTCCAGGGCTGGGGATTGAACCCTCAACCATAGGGCCCAAATACCTCTGAACATATGATGGCAGGTCCAGGGCTGGGGATTGAACCATCCACCATAAGGTACACATACCCCTGAACATATGATGGCAGGTCCTGGGCTGGGGATTGAACCCTCAACCAATGTATATTACATTATGGTTATTGACAAGTCTGATAACTCCAAGAAATACCTTGGCATCTTCAGTGCTGTTGCTAATATTCATCAAAAACTCTTTCTCTTTTGGATCTTTAGCGTACTCTGCCAGTTCTCTCAGGACATGTGTCTTGACAGTACTAGTGATGTCCACGTAGTGAAGAAGAGCTGTGCGATAAGTGGTAGGGCATGGAAAGGGATTCTTCTTGCTGGCATCCTCTGCAAAGTTAAAGAAAAAATTGAATGTCTTTTACTGATGAATAAGAAAACGTGGGCACTTGTACTTGCTGTAAGTTAGAACCGTATGTTTCCCACTCTTACAACAGCCATTCTTATGGGAAGCCATTTCAATGTCACAGCATGTCGTACTGTGTACGTGCTGTAAGTCAGTGCTGTATATTTCCTACTCATACAAAAACTGCTGTAAGGCCTTATACTTTTGTGATATTTTAGATAACTAGTTTGGTTAATAGGTGTATTGTACTGTACTAACCATCAACATTAACAAGAGACATGACCGTATCAAGGTCAACATTAAGCATTTTGCCAATTTTATCAACCAACTCGTGATCATTGGTTGGATAGATGCCTACATGATCCCCAGCATCGTATCTAAAACAAAACAACAAACATTGATTTTACTAATGCACTTATTGTTAGCTAATACACTCTTAGTCACTCATTCATTTGAGCTCATTTACATATTCAATCATTTCTTCTTTCATCACTTTTTTCTTCCCTTTTTCATATATTTATATCATTTATTCATTCAATCATTTATGTTCCTCCCTCCCTCCTTCATTTCTTTTATTCATCCATCCATCCATTTGTTCATCCATCGATAGTCCCTTATACAGTTCCCTGAACCATCTTGAAAGGTTGCTGTGCCTTTGCATTGAAGCAAGAGGAACGGTGAACTTGCAATGATAAAGAGCTCTTTTAACACCTTGGACAATAATTATTCACGTCTCTATCATTGCAAGCTAACTGCTTGTCTCCAATGCAAAGGTACGGCTACCTTTCAAGATGGAGGAGGGAACTGTGAAGGGGACTATTCGTTCATCAATTTCTCCATCTATCTCTTTCATTCTCCCTCCCTCCCTCCCTCCCTCCCTCCCTCCCTCCCTTCATTTCTTTCTTCCTTCCTTTATTAAACCAGTAGATTGAACTTTTCAAATCACTTTTTACTGACTTACTTGATGGAAGCACCAGAGATATCCAGCTCAATGTGCATACAAGACCTGTCCCCTCCCTTGTGGAGTTCACGATTGATGCGGATTGGTGCCAGGTAGGGATTCTTGGCATCAAATGGACTGAAAGAGAGAAATACAGTTAGCTAGACCAATCAGACAATCAACCTAGAAATCTGTCCATCAGACACTGTTACAGAATCTATTAGTTTTGTCTCACTTCATGGGGGTGGGCAAAAGTTGCGCCGCTACATGCAGTCTCGCATGCAGCAAATGAGAGAAATTAAGTCGCATGCACCGTCATATTGTCACACATTAAGTTACTTACGGTCTTTGTCGCTGGTATGATTTCAGCCGTGACACTTCACCGGCAAATATCTTATCCTCTGATATATCCTCATGGATTTCAAGTTTGAACTGGCGCTCAATACATGTAGACAAACTCCTATGAAACACAAAAAAATTAGCAATATTAATTTGGGTAAACAGTTTTAAAGTATCAAGGTGATGATATACTTTGACGGTCATTTTTACTGAATATTTTGATTAACTAACTAGTGATGATCATCGGCAACGAACCGTAATCTTGAATTGAGAAAAAAAAAAGACAATCAAAATTTGTTAGGTTCTTCTCATCACTTTTATACTAACAGCAAAATAAATTTGAAGTTTTTTCCATCATCAAGACAATTCAAATAACTATCATTATCATCAATGACTTTGTCACCACCATTATCACTTCATTATTATAATTACAACCATCAATGATTGTCAATATCATTATCAGCAGCCATCGAGCCATCATCCCCTTTATCATCATTACTATTACCTTAAACATCATCATCATCTTCATTAACACTATATGATTGATTAATATCATTTCTCACTATCATCATCATCACTATTACCTTAAACATCATCATCATCTTCATTAATTCTATAATATTATGATTATCATCACTTCTCACCATCATCATCATCACTATTACCTTAAACATCATCATCATCTTCATTAATTCTATATTATGATTATCATCACTTCTCACTATCATCATCATCACTATTACCTTAAACATCATCATCATCTTCATTAATTCTATATTATGATTATCATCACTTCTCACCATCATCATCATCACTATTACCTTAAACATCATCATCATCTTCATTAACACTATAATTATGATTTTATAATAACTGTTATGAATGTCGCTTTCTGATTGATTTGGAGCGCGTGCTTTATGAGAGCACATTGCATGCGCGCACACTTTCCGTTGCGTCATTCCTATCTATTATTGTAATTTGTATTTTATAAAAGAAATAAAAAACTTGCTTGCTGTGCTGTGTGCAGTCATAAAGCACTTTGGGATTGGCAGAACACTCGAGAAGTGTCAAGAAGCTTCTCCTAACACTTCTCTTGTGTTATGCCAATCCCTGCATGCCTTATGACAGCACACAGCACGCACGCGCACACATTTTCTATTTCTTTATTATTATCACTTCTCACTATCATCATCAATGATCACTATTACCTTAACAAACTCATTAATAATGCATGAGGAAAACACAATAGAAATCATGACCGTGAAGAGTTTTATAATTCTGATACAGAATCACTTTTATCTTGAAAAATTTTAGTCAAACACAAAGAAACTAACCTAGAAGTTTGTTAAGCAATATACAATATTCATGTCTGTGTTATATAGGAAGCATCTTAATATAGCAATAATCTCATTCCTTTTCTACCTAAGACATGATTAAATGTGCAAGCGTTTTTGCGTACCTTTTAATATCCCGAACATTGATGTTATAAAACTTGAGAACTGCAGGCCAGAACTCTTCTCTCCACCGGACGAAGTCTTCTTCAATACTTTTGGACAGGAAAAAGAAAGGAAACATTATCATAATGGGATTGTGATATAGCATGCCATATAATTAGACAGCATGTTCAATAATTTGAAGCCTAGCTATAGATTATCTTTACTGTTCACATCAGATGTCATAAAGAGTGGTCTTTGTGGGCAACACACAATACTGACACACAGCACATACAAGGCACAACAACATGCAGTAACATTGAAATGTCATCCCATGAGAATGGTTATCCTAGGAGTGGGAAACATATGGTATTGACTTGCAGCACATACAGTCCAAGGTACAACATGCAGTAACATTGAAATGGCATCCCATGAGAATGGTTATCCTAGGAGTGGGAAACATATGGTATTGAATTGCAGCACATACAGTACAAGGTACAACATGCAGTAACATTGAAATGGCTTTCCATGAGAATGGTTATCCTAGGAGTGGGAAACATATGGTATTGACTTGCAGCACATACAGTACAAGGTACAACATGCAGTAACATTGAAATGGCTTCCCATGAGAATGGTTATCATAGGAGTGGGAAGCATATGGTATTGACTTGCAGCACATACAAGGCACAACAACATGCAGTAACATTGAAATGGCATCCCATGAGAATGGTTACCCTAGGAGTGGGAAACATATGGTATTGACTTGCAGCACATACAGTACAAGGTACAACATGCAGTAACATTGAAATGGCATCCCATGAGAATGGTTATCCTAGGAGTGGGAAACATATGGTATTGACTTGCAGCACATACAGTACAAGTTACAACATGCAGTAACATTGAAATGGCTTTCCATGAGAATGGTTATCATAGTAGTGGGAAACATAGAGTACTGACTTGCAGCACATACATGGTATGACAAGCCATAACATTGAAATGGCTTCCCATTGTCTTCCCCAGTAATTTACAATCCATAATAATTATGGGAAGAAAAAATGAACTAATTCATTTTTTCCTAGTTACTGCTACAGTTAAAATATGGCACAGCTGCAATTAATACAGCTACAAATTTTCTGCTTTGTTGCCCACTTATACATGGAAAACCAATGGACTGTAGCAAATTAAGTAGCAAAAGTCTGCAAAAGTCTGCCACTTACTTTCCATCGTCATCACCTTCTCCTCTTTCAAACACTCTCTTCGCCCCCATCTCTTCTAATTTCTTGTCCACTATTCTTCCCATAGCATTGAAGTGTTCATATGTTTTATTACCAAGAGCAAAGACCTGAAAGTCACCAAAAACATATCCCTACCTTTTTATTTGCTGACAACAGTTTAGATAAAAAGTAATAACAACAGGACATCTTGCTTGCATATAAAGTTTTCTTTATATAATATTTACCATTGTGCACAAAACATGTTTGTTTTAAATTTCTTGATTTTTTTGTTGCTTTTTGCTTTATAGACCTTTTGCATTTCTCTCCTAGCTTTTATTTATTTTTGTCATTGTTTTAAAGTGCATGCCATATACATTCAATTCCAAAATCATTGGTGGATTCGAAAACCTGGAAGCTGAGACTGCAAACGTATATAATATGTAAGAAGTATGTTATTAGATTTATTTATATTGTTCAAGTCATGGAATATTTAAATATATTTTTTTGCACTGACAGAGAAAATGGAAGCTTTTAACACCTTTTTCATATCAAATGTTTATCTCAAATGAATACGTCAGTGGATAATAGGACACTTGTATTACTTGTTGTTAAAAACATTGGAAAGATATTGACGCTGCTAAACTGTAACTCAACTTTATTATGTGCAACAAACATAACATACATAGGCAGAGTCAATCCCCCCCCTTAATTATTAACAAGAGAAAAATCTGCTACATATAGCAAGTGAATGGCATGAAATCTACCATGGCATTTTTTAATATAATGAGATTTTATCCTTAAAAACATGCTGTTAAAAACAAGCTTTGAGATATAAAATAAACTTACAGTATAGTTCAAGCAGTCCATGTCATCTCGGTCATTTTGTAGCCACTCATAAAATTCCTGGGCATTATCTGTTGGGTCACCTTCACCATATGTAGCCATAACGAAGATTGCCAACCCATTTTCTATCTCACCAAACCTGGTAAGTTCTTCCTGAAATCCACAAACATCTCTTACAAGATTAACCAGATTGAATCTTGTGTTATGTAGAATAGAACATATTTAGCATATTATTAGTAGCATTATATGTTAAGCATTTTGGTCACTATGTTGTTCTGATTGGCTGGGAATATTTAGCCAATTACTACTACCATCAAAGTCAAAGCACAGTTAATTCACAGATGAAACAACCTGTGGGCTGATCTAAGTCAGGGCAAAGCTAGCTCACAAACCCAAGACCCAGAGATTAAAGGTGAGTGTATTAATGCTATGCCATCCTTGATCTCTTATCAAATTTATAATAATAAACTTACGATATCAATTTCCTCAGGGTCAAATACAGCAGCTTTTAGTCCATATCGCTGTGCATCTTTAGCAAGACGGCCTGCAAACTCTTCTGCTGTTCCTGTTTGAGAGCCATAGAATATAGCAATGGATTTTCCCTGAGAACAAAAGCATGAGTTAGTTAGATTATTAATTACTAGACATTCTAAGATTTAGGAAAAAACTGATTTGAATTAATTGGCATTGCAATGCATTGTGGGACTGCTTTAGGGGAAGAAATTGATGCAGTCTTAATTGCAATAAAAATAGATTGCAATGCCAGCTCAACCTTGAAATGGCTACTTGCACAGCAAGCAAGTTTTTTATTTCTTTTATAAAACACAAATTACAATAACCATTATTTTAGATAGAAATGCCACTGAAAGTAAGTGCACATGCTGTGTGCTGCACCATGAAGCATGCTATCCCAACCAATCAGAATGTAAGATTTAAACAGTTATTTTATAACTACTAATATATAAAGCACACTAGCCAACCAATCTAAGTATGTGTACTATCTAAGCTATGTAATAATATAATTTTATTTTTTACTGTCAAAAGTATTGAGGGTGGCCATGTTGAATTGACAAGAGGTATTTTCAGTCAAAAATTAAAACAAAGCATTTTGCCCAAAATTACCCACTCTCATATCTCATAACTGTTATTCATTATGACTTTTGACAGTAATTATCAATCATCACATCTTAGGAACAATCTTTTATTGTGTCATTTTTAGCAGACTCAGTTTACTACTTACTGTCTTTTTCATTTTGCCAATAAAACTTGTATCTTCTTGAGCAACCCTGGATTGTTTTCTGATTAATCAAGAGAGAGTTATCAAGCTAGGATGTGTGTACTTGACAATAACAAATGGATGTATTCATTTGAAGAAAAAAACAAGATGGACTTTTGGATCTTGTTTTTTCACTTTTACTGCAATATTCAACCAATAACATGTTTTTTGCATATTTTTGTCAGTGTTGGAAATGATACAGCAAATTTGTAGCTGTACTGTAGCCATACCATATCTGAACATACCTTCAAATTTTACCAAACCCTGAAACAACCTCTGGGCTGATCTAAATCAGGGCTCTAACTCACAGAGCAAACCCTGAAATCTAATTAAATCACAGCAGGGCTAACGCAAAAATCAAATTGGAATTTAGCTTCATTAAGTTTTGTAGAGGGAGGAAAACTGCCCCAAAACCCTAAATCAACAGAGACAACTAACAAACTCTGCTGAAATGTTAAACGCTGATACCAGGAATCAAACTCAAGACCCCAGAGGTGATAGGTGCGATGAGTGTAGCTCATTCTCTAGTACAATGACAACATGCATGGCTACGGACATAGTATGTAATTCTGATTATACCCCAGTGAAGTGGGGTACATGCTTGTTACTAAGCAACAAGATGCAAGATTTCAAGGCATGCGGTTTGTGGCTCTCAATCGTCGTATAATTGATTTACTTACTTATATAAACCATAGTCAGTATTAAGTATGTATAAACTTTTACAAGTTTGATATTCGAAATACAGTTACACTGTCTCTTGCGTTGCTATGATACAAAAGTAGTCGACTGTAATAAGTAGTCCTACGCATGCGTAATAGACCACGTGGTTTAAGATTGACTTTTTAATGACTTACACACTTTGTACATACTGAAGCCGTAATGAAACCATGGCATGCACATTTATCATTTGCATTTCAGCTAACTAGTTATGCAATCACTAACTATATATAATATACATATTGCATAACCAATTTAATTATCATCCAAATAAAGAGAACATAAAACAGAAATCTTAGTTCAATTCTAGATGGAACTTAACACCTGTCAAATATCAAATAAGGAATATATTACACCAGTTAAAATAATATTTGCAGACATATTTGCAGTCAGTTAATGTGGATCATCTCGATTTTATTGTTTAAGAAAAATGGSTTTACTACAATATATTATAAATTGAATAGCAACCACAGCTTTTGGGATCTTGACCTCCCCCC